ATTTAAGCTTCTGAAAGGCACATACTTGGTCTTCTTCCCAGATGAACGGCTGATCCTTCTCAGTAAGACGATGTAGGGGACTGGCGATGTTGGTAAAATTTCTAATAAACCGTCGGTAATAGGAACAGAGGCCCAGGAAACTTCTAACATCTGACACATTGTTTGGAGTCGGCCAATCCACNTGATATATTCCAATGCCAGAGCATCTCTTACAAGACAAGCTAGATGCCATCATTGTCTAGCTAGTTTTTCAGTAATACAGTATAGATACCCTAAAAAGATGATGAAATCATGAGAAATCTAAAAGAAAAAATGTCATCAAAACTATGAATAATGAATTACCATGATGATGTTATTGATATAAGGTGTCAATGCTGCCATGATTTTGAGTATTTAGCTACCTTTCAAATAAACTTTTTACACAAATTTCTTAAAAACCAAATAAAAACCCCCATCTATTTGGCTTTGGTGAGTTTGAAATAACTTGTCAGGCCTATATAACTTTCATTCATGTTGTAGGAAGATAGTCCCGAAACAGTAGAAAATCTTGAAAATCGCGCTAAAATGCTAAAAATCGCGTAATCATAAAATGCAAGTAGCAGCTGAGTTATCATTGATCTTTCAAAAAGAACATTTGAAATATTGTTTTTAGGTGTGTAAGGAACTTTTTAGCTGGTTTTGACATAGTTTTGGAATTATGGACCCCCCCTACTCTGTGTCTCTTCCGTGGTATCTTCACCCAGCGTGAGGTGGGCTCTGTGTGAGGAGATAATTTTATCGTTCTCACCTATGAAAGGGGAAGGGGTATAGGTAAGCTCGTAAAGACGTTGTTAGCACCAGAATGTTACTTCTGTATCGCAAGGTCGTCCTGCTCATGTTGTGTAACTCGCCAGAATTATTGGCCACAGTGCTGACGAGGGTAATGGTTCCAGTCACATGAATCAATAAATTGTTACAAACGCCCAAATATTTACCGGATGCTCCCATGGGGGTCTTTATGGCCCATAATGATAGGAATTACTTTGATAACGATTGTTAAAAATTTGTTTCATTACAATGCCCCCTCCTCTCGCAGGACTCGTCCTCGAGTCCATTAAAATCAGTGAAATAAAACAGTTCTAACAATTTAAATAAAATCTTTCAACCAAGGCGGTGTTTTTCTTCTTCGCTGTGGCCGTCTACTGATACCTTCGCTAGACGGGAGTTCCTCTTCCACTGGCATCTCCGGGGGTGAGGAAGATACCGACATGTCATTGTCGGTATTTTGCGGCAGTCTAATTTCTTGTGCAGTACTTTTCACGGCTGCGTCTTCTTCAGATGTTGGTTCTACGTCAAGGATCTCCTCGGTGGGCGAAGATGATACCGTAAAATTAGCACCGGAATCTTGGAACGCTTCCTTGGGGTGAAACCATGCTTGGACCTGGGTGCCGTAATACTTCTTCAGTCGATCGCCATGCACTGTCTGACTCGTAGAATGTGGCCCTTTCTGAACTTTGTATACAGCGTCGCTAATTCTATGTGTGACGGTAAACGGGCCTTGCCACTGACACTGTAACTTGGGTGACAGTCCTTTCTTTCTGTTGGGACAATAAAGCCAAACAAAGTCACCGGGACTATGGTTCTCCTCACGGGCCGTGCGGTCATAGTACTTTTTCTGCCTTTTTGCTGCCTGTCTCAAATGGATGCGGTCTGTTTCAAAGGAAGATACCATCCTCTCTTTCAGTTTCCAAGCGTATTCGGTTAAGTCCTGATCTTCCTCATCGATAGTGGATGGCAGGGTCAGGTCGACCGGCATAGTAACTTCTCGACCTAACATAAGCATGTTAGGTGTCATATCAGTGCTTTCATGCACGGTGGAACGATAAGCTAGAAGCAGGTATGGGAGATACTCATCCCAGTCTCTCTGGTGTTCTGAAGTAAATGCTTTCAACATCACCCCGATAGTCCGGTTAAATCACTCTACCAGTCCGTCACTCTGAGGCCTGAATGGTGTGGTTCTTGTCTTCCGTATGTGCAGAAGGGAGCATACATCAGCAATCAAATTTGACTCAAAATTCCTCCCACGGTCGGTATGAATCTGATATGGAACTCCAAACCAGCAGATAAACTCCTCAACAAGCTTTTCAGCTATGGTGCGCTACTCCTGGTCAGGGATCGGATATGCCTCTGTCCATTTGGTAAAGTAATCGCTAACAACCATAATGTACCGGTTACCTCTATCAGTGATATGCAGTGGTCCTTTTATGTCAATAGCAATTCGTTCCAAAGTGCAACCCACTGGAAGCTGGCCTAATTTTGCTTTTACTCTTCTTGGTGGATTTTTGGTAGCTCCACATGTGTGACATTGTTTTATCCATAATCTCACGTCCACCTTCATGTACGGCCAGTAGCATCGTTGTTTGAGAGCCTTCATCATCCGGTTAAGTCCCAAGTGGCCACCTGTGGGGTGTGCATGAATTTGTTGAAAAAGATCCTTTCTCAGCGGTTTAGGAGCAATTAATTGTATCACTGGGTGTCCATGCATTTGCCATCGACGGTATAGAACACCATTCTTTAAACACAAATGATCCCACTGGCTCACAAATTTCTTCAGGGTAGAACATTCTGATGCAATTTCATCTGCACCTGGACGACTATCATTTTCCTTCCAGGCAATCAACTTCCCCAGCACAGGGTCTTTCAATTGAAGAGATAGAATTTCCTCAGGTGAGAGGGGTTGTACCCAGTCACTTGCTGGGGTAAAAGCACAGCATTTAATTGATTTTCCTTTAACAACAGTCGGTTCTTCTTCACACTGCCCTCCACATTGATTACAGGGCCTCCGGCTAAGACTATCAGCATTGGCATGCTTGGTTCCAGGACGATGCTCTATGGTATAGTCATACTCTCCCAACACCTGCAACCACCGGGCCCATTGCCCCTCAGGATCCTTAAAGTTCATAAGCCACCTTAATGACCCGTGGTCTGTGCGGATAAGAAAATGTCTTCCATAAAGATAATGCCGAAAGTACTTTACAAAATGCACCACTGCCAAAAGTTCTTTCCTGGTTACACAGTATCTTGTCTCTGGCTTACTAAGCGACTTGCTTGCGTACGCTATGACTCGTTCATGGCCATCCTGAACTTGACTAAGCACCGCTCCAATCCCACGGTGGCTGGCATCAGTGTCTAAGATAAACTGGGCTTGTGCATTTGGAAATGCCAGCACTGGGGGTGTGCTGAGCGCAGATTTAAGCTTCTGAAAGGCACATACTTGGTCTTCTCCCCAAATGAACGGCTGATCCTTCTCAGTAAGACGATGTAGGGGACTGGCGATGTTGGTAAAATTTCTAACAAACCGTCGGTAATAGGAACAGAGGCCCAGGAAACTTCTAACATCTGACACATTGTTTGGAGTCGGCCAATCCACCACTGCTCTTGTCTTGTTTGGGTCAGTTTCTACCCCTCGTTCGGAGACTATGTGTCCAAGGTACTCAACCTCTTTTTGGAACAGGGAGCATTTAGATGGCTTGAGTTTAAGTCCTGCTTGTCGTAGGCGCTGAAGGACGGTTTGAAGACGTTCTAGGTGTTGCTCTACTGTACTTCCAAAGATGATGACATCATCCAAGTAAATTAAACAGGTTTTCCAATGGAGGCCCGCCAAGATTAACTCCATGAGCCGTTCAAAGGTCGCGGGGGCATTACATAATCCAAATGGCATTACCTTGAACTGGAAAAGACCCTGACGTGTGCAGAATGCCGTCTTGTGCTTGTCTGCTGGACTCATCTCAACTTGATGATAGCCGCTCATGAGGTCTAGTGTGGAGAACCACTTAGCGCCGTACAAGGTGTCTAACGTTTCATCTATACGAGGCAGTGGATATGCATCTTTCTGTGTAACATCATTCAGCCGACGGTAATCTATGCAGAACCTGATGGAACCGTCCTTTTTGGTAACCAACACTATCGGTGAAGCCCAGGCACTGCTTGAAGGTTCAACCAAACCTTGGGACAACATCTTCTCTAGTTCATCGTCTGCTTCTTTTACCCGATGTATTGGAATTCTTCTTGCTGGCTGGCGGATTGGATGACTGTTACCAGTGTTTATTGTATGTTTTATCAGTCCAGTTTTCCCAAGATCATTTGAATCCTTTGCAAACACATCGCTATTTTCACGGAGTACTCTGGCTACTTTCTCCGCCTCTGTCGGGTTAAGGTTTACTTTAATTTTGTCCCATAGAGGTTCCATATGAGCCGGTAAACTTTGGTCAGTAGTCTCAGCATCAGCCTGGTCGACCTGTCCTTCGTTCCCAATGACACTGGCTACGTCTGGTTTTATCAAAGCTGCTACAGTTCCACGTCCAAGTTTAAGAGGATATTCACCCTTATTCATGATGCGCAGGGGAACAGACGTCCCACGGAGATCAACCAACGCATAAGCAACTGACGCGTGTACATTATTCTTCAATCTTGACTCTGTAATACCCTCAGTGAGTGTGGGACCAGATTTATGCAGCTGTCCGGTAATAACCATCTCCGACTTTGGGGGTATAACTGTATCTTCTTTGAATGAGACACGGCAACAACGATAACCATTTCTTTCAGCAGTTATCAGCGGAATTTCCTCCCTATCCCCTTCGCCAATGGTCACAGTTAGTTTTTGCAAATTAATTGTACAGCGTAATTGTCTCAACACGTTCATTCCAAGTATACCTTCCCAAGGTACATCGGCAACAATGACTGGGATATCAAACTTGTGGTTATTTATAGACATGGGGACAGTTGTCTCACCTTTCAAGTCCATGAAGGTACCCGTAATTCCCTGTATCTGCTTTGTTGAGGGCCTAACACTTGGCCTTTCTCCTTTTGGAAACTGTAAAAACACACGCTCTGCAATAATTGTAAGATCTGATCCGGTATCCACCAAAAATGAACAATTCCTCCCAAACAAACTTACATGAAGGAATATGGAATCATCTTGTCGAGAGGTCTTACTGTTCTCCACGGTTGGCCGATGCCTCTCTTCTCCAACCGCCGCTAGTTTAACTGATTCGCACTGACTGCCTCTGCTCTTCTAGGTGCTGGTGGGGGTCCAACTTTTACTGGTACACAATTTCTGGCCACATGTCCAAATCCTCCACAGTTAAAGCACTGGACATTCCTACGGGGTGGAGTGACTGGTTTTACATTCAGTACTTGACATTCTCGAGCAAAATGTCCCCTCCTACCACATTTAAAACACTGCACGGTCCTAGAGGGCGGTGGCACTTGTTTGGTTCGCATCATTTCAGCTTCTAATAAATCCACTTTGGATGAGATCTTTTCCAAGGAACGAGTTACATCATCCAACACCTTGCCCGTCGGGTGAGATTCGTCAGAAGGGGTAATTGCAGCAGCAGAACGTACCAAATTTAATCTCCGCCCTCTTGCAGTCTCGGCATCTTGGCAAGCTTCCAATTCAATAGCTAGCGATTCACAATCATCAATGGTTCTAGGCCGATATCGCATAACATCCAATCTCAAACGGGTATCATCTAACGCGTCTAGAAAATACTCTCGCATAAAAGTGTCCTTCACTTCAGCAGTTTCATTGGTCCATCCCAGGCTAACTAAACGCCTTATTGCCTGGGCTAACTCACTAAGGGTTTCTTTGGGACTCCTTTTCCTCATCCTTGCTTGCACCCTGTAAAATTCGGTTCTGTTTTTGGGGCTGAATCTCCTCTCTAGTGCTGTTGTCAATAGGTCGTAGTTAAAGCGGTGTTCTGGTGGGAGATCGCCCAATACTTGCGCCGCATCTCCTCGTAGGTTGGTTGCCAAATGGCCCGTTTTCTCTTCATTACTCCACTGATACACCATGGCACAAATGTCAAATTGAGCTTTATAATCATCCCATGAAGATTTTCCATCAAACGTGCCTAGCTTAATAGACGGGCCTGCTTTTTCCTTGACACGGGTCTGCATACTGGTCGGCATGGGATAAAAGGGGTTAGGAAATTGTTCTGACACATACTCAGGTTTGGCTCTAAGTGTAGACGGTACCCTCTCCCATCCAATCGTTCGGCCTGCCTCCTGGTTCACAAACAGGTTGGGGTTGATGAAATGATCGTCGTCNTTTGTTCCCAATGACACTGGCTACGTCTGGTTTTATCAAAGCTGCTACAGTTCCACGTCCAAGTTTAAGAGGATATTCACCCTTATTCATGATGCGCAGGGGAACAGACGTCCCACGGAGATCAACCAACGCATAAGCAACTGACGCGTGTACATTATTCTTCAATCTTGACTCTGTAATACCCTCAGTGAGTGTGGGACCAGATTTATGCAGCTGTCCGGTAATAACCATCTCCGACTTTGGGGGTATAACTGTATCTTCTTTGAATGAGACACGGCAACAACGATAACTATTTCTTTCAGCAGTTATCAGCGGAATTTCCTCCCTATCCCCTTCGCCAATGGTCACAGTTAGTTTTTGCAAATTAATTGTACAGCGTAATTGTCTCAACACGTTCATTCCAAGTATACCTTCCCAAGGTACATCGGCAACAATGACTGGGATATCAAACTTGTGGTTATTTATAGACATGGGGACAGTTGTCTCACCTTTCAAGTCCATGAAGGTACCCGTAATTCCCTGTATCTGCTTTGTTGAGGGCTTAACACTTGGCCTTTCTCCTTTCGGAAACTGTAAAAACACACGCTCTGCAATAATTGTAAGATCTGATCCGGTATCCATCAAAAATGAACAATTCCTCCCAAACAAACTTACATGAAGGAATATAGAATCATCTTGTCGAGAGGTCTTACTGTTCTCCACGGTTGGCCGATGCCTCTCTTCTCCAACCGCCGCTAGTTTAACTGATTCGCACTGACTGCCTCTGCTCTTCTAGGTGCTGGTGGGGGTCCAACTTTTACTGGTACACAATTTCTGGCCACATGTCCAAATCCTCCACAGTTAAAGCACTGGACATTCCTACGGGGTGGAGTGTCTGGTTTTACATTCAGTACTTGACATTCTCGGGCAAAGTGTCCCCTCCTACCACAATTAAAACACTGCACGGTCCTAGAGGGCGGTGGCACTTGTTTGGTTCGCATCATTTCAGCTTCTAATAAATCCACTTTGGATGAGATCTTTTCCAAGGAATGAGTTACATCATCCAACACATTGCCCGTCGGGTGAGATTCGTCAGAAGGGGTAATTGCAGCAGCAGAACGTACCAAATTTAATCTCCGCCCTCTTGCAGTCTCGGCATCTTGGCAAGCTTCCAATTCAATAGCTAGCGATTCACAATCATCAATGGTTCTAGGCCGATATCGCATAACATCCAATCTCAAACGGGTATCATCTAACGCGTCTAGAAAATACTCTCGCATAAAAGTGTCCTTCACTTCAGCAGTTTCATTGGTCCATCCCAGGCTAACTAAACGCCTTATTGCCTGGGCTAACTCACTAAGCGTCTCTTTAGGACTCCTTTTCCTCATCCTTGCTTGCACCCTGTAAAATTCGGTTCTGTTTTTGGGGCTGAATCTCCTCTCTAGTGCTGTTGTCAATAGGTCGTAGTTAAAGCGGTGTTCTGGTGGGAGATCGCCCAATACTTGCGCCGCATCTCCTCGCAGGTTGGTTGCCAAATGGCCCGTTTTCTCTTCATTACTCCACTGATACACCATGGCACAAATGTCAAATTGAGCTTTATAATCATCCCATGAAGATTTTCCATCAAACGTGCCTAGCTTAATAGACGGGCCTGCTTTTTCCTTGACACGGGTCTGCATACTGGTCGGCATGGGATAAAAGGGGTTAGGAAATTGTTCTGACACATACTCAGGTTTGGCTCTAAGTGTAGACGGTACCCTCTCCCATCCAATCAATCTGGCTGCCTCCTGGTTCACCAACAGGTTGGAGTTGATGAAATGATCGTCGCCCAGGAATGGATTGGTGTTAACAGTAATAAAGGGATTAGTGTTACAGGGAGTATCAAACTCCAGTCTTCTCCTCGGGTCTGCAAAGAGCGGAGTATCATCCAACACCGGGCTCAAACATGGATTACAACTCCCAAAAGCACTGTCCCATTGTCTTGAGTGGTCGTATATCCTAGTTTCATCTGCCATAATTCTTAGAGGACGTGACAACTTTTGTATCCCACCGCTGCCACCAAATTTGTAGCGGTTTTTGAGTCTAAAGGTAGCGTGCTAATTAAAGTTCAATCCTAAGAAACAGAGTTCTTTTTATCAATAAACAGTTTTATTTAAATCCAACGAAGTTTGTAAGGAGGCAATAAAAAGTTCAATGTGTCCAGATATAATTTAAATGATAATGATGAAGAGTTTAATATAAATGCATAATCCAGGGTGCTACTAGGTAAAGTCATTAATCCTAGGAGGTATAGACATCGGTTAACATCGTACTGGTACTGGTACTGGTGGGCTTCACTTCGGAATTATTCCTGCCGACGGTAACCTAGGGTCCCGTAGCTACGCTGACCCTGTCGGGATAATCTGACTGAGATATCCCTTAACGTTGGTGCCCCCAGCCAACGTATCGCTTGTCCTAATCGACCTCCTGCCTAAGGTCTGCCTACTCTACACGGGAGATATTTCCCTCGTCGTTGGTGCCCCAGCCAACGTAACTCAGGCCTTCGTTGCTACGCAAAGCCTGTCGGGAGAATCTGACGGAGATTTTCCCTGTCGTTGGTACTCCTGCCAACGTGTCACTCTTCCTAACTAACCAACAATCAACCGCCCCAGTGAACCTGCCAGTGAAAGTAGAAACTTTCTCAATCGGAGCCTCGAGCGTAGCCTTGTCCCATCAGATTCGATCANAATCTGACTGACTGAGATATCCCTTAACGTTGGTGCCCCCAGCCAACGTATCGCTTGTCCTAATCGACCTCCTGCCTAAGGTCTGCCTACTCTACACGGGAGATATTTCCCTCGTCGTTGGTGCCCCAGCCAACGTAACTCAGGCCTTCGTTGCTACGCAAAGCCTGTCGGGAGAATCTGACGGAGATTTTCCCTGTCGTTGGTACTCCTGCCAACGTATCACTCTTTCTAACTAACCAACAATCAACCGCCCCAGTGAACCTGCCAGAGAAAGTAGAAACTTTCTCAATCGGAGCCTCGAGCGTAGCCTTGTCCCATCAGATTCGACCAACCGCCCCAGTGAACCTGCCAGAGGGAGTAGAAACTCCCTCAATCGGTACCTCAAACGAGTAGTATCCTCTGTGTCTCTTCCGTGGTATCTTCACCCAGCGTGAGGTGGGCTCTGTGTAAGGAGATAATTTTATCGTTCTCACCTATGAAAGGGGAAGGGGTATAGGTAAGCTCGTAAAGACGTTGTTAGCACCAGAACGTTACTTCTGTACCGCAAGGTCGTCATGCTCATGTTGTGTAACTCGCCAGAATTATTGGCCACAGTGCTGACGAGGGTAATGGTTCCAGTCACATGAATCAATAAATTGTTACAAACGCCCAAATATGTACCGGACACTCCCATGGGGGTCTTTATGGCCCATAATGATAGGAATTACTTTGATAACAATTGTTAAAAATTTGTTTCATTACAATATACATTTTAAATTGATAATTTTAAAACATTTTCAGTGCAGTATGTTCATCATGATTACCACTCTCTGTATCTTGCCATAATCATATTTACAAAAATGTCAGTATGGTCCTATTTTTCTCATTTTTCTGATTCATCTTCTATAAAAAAGATAAATCACATGAGATATGGTTCTGGTGGTGAGTGGGGTTTATTTTAATAGCCTGTTTACAGTTGTTTTTGCCACTGGCTATAGAGGGCACTATAAAACTGAGAGGAAATATTAGACTAATATTATGTTCTCGTATACAGGGTGCTTAAAAAATCCTTCACATTATGATCATACACAGTTTGAATGGAATTCAACCATGAAATAACATTTTGGGCCTTAATTACTTAAAGTTACTTGCTTAAGTAACTAATTATTAGGCTAAGCTTAATTTTTTTTTCATTCAAACCTGAAAATCAGATTTTGAAGTAAGTAGGAAGTGCTGGTTTGCTTTTTTAGGTGGTACAAACTTTTGCAGACACCCTGTACACTGTAACAGTAATAAAAAAGACTGCCTGTGTCAGTAAAAATACCGTGGGAAAACTGTGCATCCAGTGTATGCTGACTGATTTAATGAGGTTTTTCTGATTATGACTTTTAATTTAGGCTTTCTGAATTGAAACTATACTGGGACAATGAGAGATCATTTGTAAGCTAAAGCACAGTTACTGCTGTCTCTTATGTCGATATAGTGCAGTGAAGTCATCATCACCAGCAGCAGGAATTGGCAATTTTTACTTGCAAAAGAATTTCATTGTGAAGCATTTTCATTAGTTTGAATCCCGTGAAACTTCTGTGGCATATGGGATATTTGGTTTTGAAGAAGAAGCTGCAGTTTTTCCGCCATATAACAAAATTACATAAGAATTTCAAAAGATAGAAATCATAGCATTTCTACTGAAAGGATTTATAATAATTACAGTACCAGGAAGTTCAATATGAAGAGGAATCATTTTGAGCAACCAGAATACAGAAACTGGCAGTTCTTTGTCCTTCACAAACCAACAAGTTGGTTCATTTTAAAATATGGTTTTGAATATCTTTGAAAACAATCTCCCAATCTTAGGAGATGAGATCGTTTCAGGATTGAATTTATACAAAATGGTTGGGTATAAATTGTAGTAATTTTTTTTGGCAGCAAATCTCATTTATTGTGGATAGCAGGTTATAAAGCCATCTTTTCTGTAATTTTTAAAAACTTATTAAAATAATATTTTATATGGCAGTGTGGAGTCAGGGGCAGTATATATTCTATACATTCTATAGCTAGCTAGTTTTGACATATTTGAGTTGGAAAAATGTGACAGTTTGTAAGACAAAACAAAAAGCTAGTATAATTATTGATGTGACTTGTATTTATAGTACAATGAGACTTAATATGAAACTTTTGTGGTTGTTCTTTCAGATGTTAACCCCCCTGGCAGTAGGGAAAACAGACCTACGGAGGTGAAACAGCCATTCCAGGTGATTTGAAAAGAAATGTCATATACATTGTTAGATATTTGATAAATTAATTATACAGTGCCTAAAATGCACACTACTATTATGTTTCAGTATTTTCTATGAACTATGTTTAAAATTTGTTTGTTTGTTTTTTTCTTTTTTTGTTAGAAATCATTTTTATGGTTATAATGTCCTTACAAATGACTGAAAAATAGCATTGCTCTTTTTTTGGCAGTGTATTAATATATTGGTTTTGAATATGAGGGTTACACATTTCATTTTGCATGTGTAGATTTAAAACTAGCATTTCGATACATTACAGCGTGCCAGGGCGGTCAGTGAAGATGATGATAAACCCCCTCCTATTCCGACAAAGTCTGAAGGAGCATTTTTGGACGTCTCTCAAGGTAATGTGTGAGTGTTTGATCAGCTACAAGTGTGCTGTGTCATAAAAATATTAACCTTTTAAAAAATAATTTTGCAACTTCGCTGATGGAAACATTAATGGAGGATGATAGAGGCTTTTGTAAATGCACAGGTTCAGCATTTTTTGCTTAAAGAGGAGAGGGAAAAGTATTTTTGAGGGTTATTTGTTATCAAGATTGTGAATATTTTTCTGTATTTTTGTGTTGCACTTGGTAGGGGATTTGGTTCAATTTTATTGACGACCTGGGCCTGTTAGAACCAAAATCCATAGATTTGCAAAAATGACAATTTTTTGTAATATTCTGAATGTCATTAAATTTTTATGTCTGCACTATATGGGCAGTATTAGTGACAGGAGAAGTTGAGAAAAAAATTTCAGCAAGATTATTATTCTTACTGTTACAGTGTATTTCATTCGCACACACAGAAAAAAAATACAATATTTCTAACCTTTATTTAATATTTATCCACCATTTCAGTAAAAAGTTATAAAAGGCGTAGTTGGGATGATAAAATTTGGGCAGAGAAATATTCGTGCCCGCCTCCGGTGCCAATAAAAACACCTGAGGCGTACATGTTACCACGTACCAGAGGTATTAATTCATGGACTCGGGTTCATTGTTTAGTGCATGCCACTGGTGGTGTTTGCATGATTTTTTTTTTTTTTTGTATATCCAGATTTTATATTTTATGGTTTCTCAATGCCTCTTTTGCCAAATGCTTTTGATTGTTTTTATGTTTTAATTTTTATTCACGCAGGTGATGGAGTCAAGGACATACATTGTATGTAAAAATGATATTTTATGGTTTCTCAATGCCTCTTTTGCAAAATGCTTTTTTTTTTTTTTTTTTTTGATAATTTCATGTTTTAAATTTTATTTGCCCAGGTAAAAAAGTTAGAACATATATAAAAGTATATGGAATTGTGGACTATCTATGGACTTATAGACCTTTTTAGTCATGCAGTCTTGAATTCAAATTAGAAATTCATTAGAAAACAATAGCATTGAAATGTTTATATATTTTTGCAATTTCATTTTTTTTTTCAAGTTTTTTTTAAATATAAGGTTCATTTCTTGGGGTTTATTGCTCTCTTATTTGAATAAATACATACTGTTGAATGGCTGTCAACATGGAAAAAAACACCGTTAGTTAACTAATTATTGCTTTTTTTTGCTTCATCACTTATGATTATTATAAAAAGCACAATATTAGAATAGTTTATTATTAGCTGTTTTTTGGCATAAGTTATTGCCGTTATAAGATGACTTACTAATAGAACTTCATCCTCTTGGAATTCTACTAATTCTACTAATCCTTGAATATATGACTATGTACATGTTGTGCTCTGTGTAGATTATTATATATGTGTGTATGTGTATAAATGTGTGAGTATATTTTTAGTGAGCATGATATGGCTATTAGTAAGACTTTTAGTTGGTAAAGGACACATTTTTTAACTCACATCTCCAGTGCTGCTCTGATTTGAACTAATTCTTTGTGTTGCAGAAATTTTGTGAGTTCTTGCATCTAGCATGTTGGGAACTAAACAAAGTGGAATGACATTTGTTACGTGTAGTTGTGTAAATTGATTTTTTGTTATTAAACAGTCATTTAGAGAAAAAAATAATAATGAAAATGATAATGAAATGAATAGATATTAATAGATTTAAAGGTATATTATTCATGAATGACAATTTCCCTGTACAAAGTAAAAGGAATTTGTTTAGATCAAGAATAACTTTGTGATGTTTATGATATTGTTCACAATGGTATAATGGACTTAATCTAGTGGTAATTCATACAAGGTTTATCAAAAATGTTTAAAAAAATAGCATGCAGCATCCTTTACAGTCTTCCAAGTATGAGGATCTAGATTAAAAATTTTATTACAACTTGATAAATTGCAAATTTAAAGGCTTCAGCTATGTACATGAAGTAATGCAAGTAAATATCTGTCTCCTCCCTTAATATATTAAAAAAAATATTTAATCTCAGTCCTGAATGGTGCACTTATGGGCACAGTTTTAAGACACTCACATTTTTTCAGACCCTGAAATGTTTTGCGTTCTTGTTCCAAAATACATCACTTTTTGTTGTATCATGTGCACACGTTGGGTGAATTTATTGCAGTCCGTATCATTTAAATGTTGTCCTGATGCATGGTTTTACATTTTTTTTTTTGATATATGAAAAATTAATCTAGACTATAGTTTGTAAAATCTTGCAAGTGTATAACATATCTGTCAGGTTTCGTCAAAGGTTATATGAATTTTTGTATATAAAGATACATAAGATATTTTATATATAAAAATAATTAAATTCAGATTGATCAAAACCTTAGGCAATAGAAAAACTTATGAATTTGATACCTAAACTAATTGAAAACTTTCCTTCCCATCTCTGACATTTTGCGCTAAGTGTTACTTTACTCCAGGCCAACATTATGATGGGGTGATGCGATACCCACCAATGACAAGGTCAAGGTCATCAACAGACAACAAGTACCATTCCTTGGAGAGGAATTTCTTTTCTAAGAAAGGTACAACGAATGATGCAATGATAATATAGGGCAAAGTGTTTTAATTAGGGCAGTATTGTTATGCTCACTATTAAGACGTGACATATCTCCAATATATGCCATGAACTATTTGTATATGTACATGTATATTTGTAGCCTGTATATTACAAATGCAGCACTGGTAGGTGTGTATAGGCTTTTCTATCCTTATTCTAAACTTTAAGTTTATAATGCAACCTATTTGAGTGGATATTAAGTTTACTGCTAGCTATTTTATGCTTAGCCTATGTGAATGAGATGTTCAGAGCAATACATATTACAATATGATGGACTAGATATAGAATCATTGACAGTGATTAGTGTCTGTTTAATTGAGTAGATTCTTCAGAATGCTACGCTAGCTGATGTTTCAGATGTACAGTGTTTCAGTTGTAAATGATAGTTAAGACAATTTGAACCTAGAGGACTGCACACTGGGTGACAGAACTTTATAAGTAAATTTGAGAGGGGGAAAAATGTTGAACATATTGCAGAAAGTTGTGAAAAACATTATCAGTAATGCATATGATCAGTGGTTTTGGCTG